TTCCCCAACGTAGGACGTGCCCTAGATGCGGCACGCATTCTACTTCAGCTCAGAGTCGTAGTGGCTTATTGAATGCGTTCTGGCCCTTACAATTGGCCTGCGAGGGGCAGGCCAAGTACAGTTCACTGTTCTTGTCCTTCCAGACAGTCTGGTACCTATTGCCGTGCCCTGGGAGTGGAAGGTTTTTTATGAGTCGTGCCCGATTACTGAAAAGTCTCAGGGGTTTACTTGTACGCTTCACTCGACTTCTGCGCGTTTGTACTGTATTTTCCATTTCTTAGTTGGCCCGCACGGTGGCCAATCCAGAATTTGACCCCCGCACCGCGCGCGTGGGGAGGGCCGGCCCTTTGCCACAATACCACCCGATTGAAAGTAATATTTTTAATTTTAGCCATGTGTCGTTCTGTCACTGAATCGTCTGATCGGATGGCAGCCAGTTGATTATGCACCAGATTCTGTACCAGAAAACGTCAAGGGGCGTTATAAAAGTGGTTCAATTGCGCTGTACTGTGATGGAGCTGTAAGTGCAGTCAATGTTTGGTACTTGTTATAGTTGTATGCGTATCGATTTCAATCGATTTCTTATTCAGAACAATCCTGATAAGGAGCATATCGGGCGCCTGAAGTACATTCCAGAGTATGGTATCGATGGAAGATATTATCCCTACGTTTACGTGCCCAATTATCATCAGCCTATTGTGAGTTATCAATAACCAGTTTTTAATCTCAAATTGTTTTTCAATTAGAATTCACGCTTCTTATCAGCTCTCAGTGGTCTAAGTGACGTAGTGGTCTCGCTCGTGGGGGCGAGATGACTTTCGTGGAAGGCACTTTATGACAGGCAGGCTACCATTGGCCCTGTGCGAGCTCGTTCTCGTTTTCTTGGTAGAACGAATCGAGGAATTTATGTATTCATGTGATGGAATGCGACATGACGCTATAGCATTGCGTGTGATTCTCGCGTGTTGGCACGAGAATCTCTCTTAGTGCTCAATCCTTTTGAGAACTTGAGTTTGATGCGCACATCCTCTTAGAAGGTGGAGCTTAAATGCAGTTCAGAAAGAGAAAGGAAGGGTTCAAATTTTCCGGGGGATGTGGCCCTTTTCCACGCCTTATGCTGTGCTCGCCTATTGCGAGAAGTGTCTTGAAGCTAACCCCAAGTCCCCCAGAGAGGCATCCCATCAAATTTTCTGAATTTGCCGCTTCCGAATTGGCTAAGACAGCTCAGCGTAGCCACCACAAACAATGAAAATCCTAGTATAGATGCAGGCTGTTGAATGGTAGCTCCAAATAACTGGTTACCAAATAGGGGTGTTATGTTGATTAGGGAGGAGGAGACCTTTGGGTGCAAGTTGAGGGCCGATAGAGGGTCTAGCACTGGTGTTGCAATCGAGGTTTAATCTCCTTATCACTGAACGTTAAATACTGGTCGGACCTTTCAGAGGTTCTTGTTTATTTCTGCAATTGTCATGTGACAGAAACGATTTAATATGATAATATCAGTCTAATTTGATAAGGGAGGAGCTTGTCTTTACCGAAGGGGTGACCTTTCATATAGCGATCAATACTTTTGTAGTTAAGACTGTTTTTTGGCCGATCAATTGGAAATGGGAAGGAGCTTCTCCAAAAAAAGTTTGAAAGAGATAGAAAGGTTCATGCTGATGAGGTTCTATGTTCTGCTTTTTGTGGCGGTATTGGGAGTGGGGGAAAGGGGAGGAGTGAATTGAGAGGTTGTTCCATAAAAAATGCACAGGATAAGTCTTAAAAAATCGGCCTTCCAGTAATCTCAATGCATTTATCAATCTCCAAGCAAAAAATCGGCCGGTGATACCACCCTGATAACTTTTGAATATTTTCTATAAAATTCAAGATTTTGTCCACAAATCGTAGAAAATACAAGGAAAAAAAACTAAAAGTGCAGTTGTTTCCTTATTCCGAGTATTTTTTGCTCCTGTAGCGTGCGTGAGGAGAAGGATTTTGTATGTACCTCATTAATTCCTAAACTCTAGTTGCTCATTTCGCTTCAGAATGTGGGCTAATGGGAGCATTTTGAGATTTTTGTAGGGAAGGGGTTCCTGGGTGCATTTGGGTAATCCCAGTTTTGCCAAGGTGGCCCTTCAAAGGCCCCATTAGCTCACTTGTACTAACCAGGTCCTGTCACCAAGCCATTGATGCTGATTCGCCGCTCTAGCTCTCCAGAAAGGCCTTTTGGGCATAAAGGATAGTACGGGAGACAAAGGATGCACGCGACGAGGTGCAATGGAAGGTGTCACGTTCTTAGTATAGAACTCTACCCCTAATACATATTTTGAAACTTGAAAGGGGCTAATAACCTTGGGGACTCCTCGTGCGGAAGTGGGACCAGTGCCACCATTTCAGCATCTACGGAGCTCCTCCTTTCTCAGCCTCAGACCTAAATCCTTACCTCCATTGCGAGCAGGGTGCAGCATGGGGATGGGAGGAATGGCGATGACAGGCAACAAATAACTACCAGTTTCATCCATCCAAAATAGTAGTTGTACAGGACTTTGACGGCGTCGCCAAATATGGGGAGAGGTATATTAACACACGAGAAAAAAAAAGAATTTCACGAAAAGTCAGCAACCGAAAATTTTTTCTCACGGCTCAGAACATTTTCTGTCAAGAGCAGACTGGAGCCCTATGAACCAAATGCGACCCCATGTCTCTGATTGAATGCTCGCAGCAGTGCTGTACTCAAATCACCCAATTTGAGTAGTCTAGACAATGTGCCCCCCCCCCCTCACTTCCAGGCCACAGATACAGATTCAAGACGTTCCGT